CTTAAAGGATTCGCTATAGGTTGCGCTTTCATCAACATTTCTTGAGGGTACGTAAACTTCATAAACGCTTTCTGATAGCCTAAAAGCCGATTATCAAACGGCTACACTGAAAAAAAAAACTTCCATCCCAAAACTTGAAAAAGGTTTCGAATTTTACAACCAGAACGAAATCGAAATCTTTTCCAAAGTTCGTGAAAATAAGCTTTCGTTGAAAAGAAACAATTATCTCCTGAAATTTATCTCCCTATATATCCAATATTATACTAAATATCTCGTCTTAGTCTACCTCGATGAATATGTATCTATTCGTCCATTTATATCCATGCACCCTTTATCTGTGCCAAAATCCTTAGTAAACGACGGGCCATTTACATTAAATTTATATGAATAATTAGTCAATCACTTTATCGTTAATATTAATCAAAACTGGGCTACTGACATCACTTAATTTATCAATATTAACTGTGAATGGGTCAGTTTAGCTCTAATATCAAGTTTAAACTTTTTCTCTCAACATATGGTTGGCTAAAAATTAACTGAATATGTGTTTTTCTTGAAGGTATTTCTATTAAAATCAGTTTTTCTAATCAGAGAAGATCTATTTTATGACAATAACATCTTTTACAATAAAAAATTGAATAACAGTATACAATTTTGAGACGGTGAGGTCCAATGAAACGTATTTTGGTAACTATAAAAAACTGCATAGAAATTCGCTTTCTTCTATCTAAAAAAACTCCGATTCAAGTTTTACCTAAAAAATCTTTATGTTTACAAATAAAACTCTCTGACCGAGAAAAATTAAATGAAATAGTACTGGACTCTTGTGAACCATATATGCTCTTAACTTTAAGTAAGTTATGTATCCCTAGAAGCTATTAAAACTCAATATTAAGACTATTCTCTTCCAAAACCAATATGCAACTAGCTAAATTCAAATTGAATAAAGTTTCTAGGATATATTTGAGATTTTCATAATGACGCTATGCCGATATTTTTAACTCTAAACCATGCGGCTTTTGAGAGACTCATATGAAACAAGAATCAAAAAAAGTTCATTTGGTTTTCCTAAATTCTTTCTATGCTTACATTTTATGTGCTGAACTTTTTGATTGAAATAACATGTAACGGCACAGCGCATGTGGAAGCCCTATTTTTCAAAATTCATATATTGTTATTTCAAAAAAAGGTTGATAATTGGATATTCCGAAGCTCCCCAAATTTAGAACTTTTCGCCATTATTGGAACTTTTAAAGTATTATAGTGTGATCCTTTTGCTACTCAAAAAATATAAGAATTTAAAAAAAAAGACTCGAAAATGGCTTGTATTGGTACATGCTTTTTCAAACAAATAAAAATGAGACTGTTAAATGAAGGCCTAGAAAGAATTTTGGGAACCCAAATGAGCTATCTCTGCTCTCAAATGACGTATATATTCCGAAAACTCATCGTGTAAGACCAAAAATTTTCCTGTAGGCTTTCCACTATAGTTCCAATTCATAAGGAAAATTTCATACGATTCGAATGTATTTGACCTGAAATCATCTCGGCGCAAAAGTAGAGGGAATATAACAGCTCAGTGACTCGTTAACCGCTAGTGTTAACGACAAGGTGAAAAAGCGGCTACTGAATTCTCGACTCTTGGTGGATCTTGACAGCCCCTGGTGGATTCTGTGGATCCTGACGGAATCTATCGATCCTAGAATCCATCAGGAGCCACTTTTCTTTCCTTGAATCTATCTGCAAGTGTAGAATGGGAAATGCTTTGAATGAAAGCTAACTATGGTATACCTTTGTGTTAGGAATAATCAATCCGTCTGATGTAAGCGTAGAATAGTCTACCCTTATACGAAGAACAATAAATATTCCTGATGAATACATTTAATAGTAAGCCTTTCGGCTCAGAAACTCTCCAAGGGTTGATGACGTCAGGATAAAACCTTCAAGAGTTTATCAAAACTATTATAAAGTGTAAGAATTTCATTGAAGACGTGGATTTGAACGTGGATATGGGTGTTGGAGCGGCTACGGGTATGTACGTGGATGTGAAAGTATGTGAGTGAACCTACGATTATATCTGCGTTATGTAATTCAAAACCTTCCATCGTAATTGTTTTTTTATTGGAACGTAAGGAAAAAGCTGCATTAATAACTATTAGAAAGAGTTTCAATCGTACTGATCGATAAATAAATAAACGACTTTATTTGTCCAAAATAATTAGTATATATATGTATTAACACATTAGGAAAAATATTAAATGTGATAAAAAGAAAATCTAAACGATAAGGGAAAAGCTTAACAATGCCAAAAGGAGATGACACTTTGGAAAATACTTGACGACAAAGAAAAGAATATCTATATATAGTATTTGTCATCAGTACAATAGCAGAACAGAGGTAAGAAAGGAATACCAGATATAAATCAGTCATACCATAATAATGATCGAATTTGGTTGAGTTTTTAGAGTAAAAATAAATTCTAAAAGGTATGAAATCGACTAAATGACGTTAGCAGCCATCTATGGATATATTATCATTAGTCAATTATTATTGAATTAATTAGTAGTACTGATGTTTAGTTTATGTTTAGTAATTTCTAAACATATTGGGTAAACATCATCGTGTAATAATATACTATAACTTTCATTTAAAATTGTCAACCAATCGAGCGGTGAAACGAATTTTCGCTGTTTCGTTTCATGGTCAAAAGGGCAGTCTTGATATTCTAATTTAACTCGTGCAGCATAGACAGATTTAATATGAACATCACCAATATTATCGTTATCGATGATTTTATATTGAGCTATAGGCTGTAAAGAACTTTCCTCTAATTCACAATAACTTTCTTCAAATGTTTCTCGAATACAAGCTTGTATTTCATTTTCATTTATTTCAATTTTACCACCCGGTAATTCCCATCCTCGTTTTTTGTGGTGTACAAACAATAATTCATCATTTAAGTTAAAGGCGAAGACCAGAACTGCAGATGCATTTGAGTGAAATTCTGATGGATTAATTGTTAATACTATTTGTTGTTGAGATGAAAAGAGTCCTGGAAAACAAAATGTAGATTTTGCATCAAATAAATAATGTTTCATTGAAACCATGCTGATATTTGTTGCTGGTTTCCCTTCCACTAAAATTTCATCTGTTGGAATGAAGGCAGGTGAATCAATGCATAAAATAGATTGTTGAAACCGATTTGGATTTGAATACTCATGCGGTGCTGAATGCCATGTATGTGCACAGCCATACGAAACGGACTTTTTTTGACAAATTAGATTATGACTGATGACCATTTCTGACTCAGTCATAATATTGTGAATATGTAATGGTATGGAATGACCGGGTTTAATATGTAGTACATATAATCCAACACTAATGCCATTATTGGTTAATTCAGAAATTTCATCGATAATGTCTACGTGACCCCAGCTATTGTTTTCTTGTTTCAAAGGAGACTCATCAGAAGAGTATATTACATTGACAGAACTTGTGAATGAACTCATGCGTAAGATATCGTTTGGTGAAACAATTTGTAATTCTATATGAATGTCATTGATTGATAGAAATGAGTGATGCACACTATTGATAGTGAAGAATTTAAACAAATATTTGACAATGATTCCTGCTAAAATCTGTAGCGTTGAATATGGAAAATGAGTAATAAGAAAACAGATCTGTTGAGATAACTCCCAAAGATTAATTCTATTTTCTTTATTGAGCGATATTTGTGTCTTACTTATGTCCGATAAAGAAAATTGAATATTAACAGAGATTTGAGCTTGTGCTAGTAATATTTGTATATCAGCAATATCCAATAATGTTTTTTTGATAAACTCTTTATATCCACAAGATAAGGGCAATTTTAAATCTTTGATAGCATATTCCTTGAACACTTTTGTCATTATTCTTTTGTGAAACACCACCTAAAATGAGCAGTGATGTATACAGGGTAGATTTTTGCGTTTCCTCTCTTCTGTCACAGACTGTGACTGACGGCCTTCGTAAAGTATCACAGACGATATATCACTAACATTCCATTAGAATATATGAGCTGATCGGTTATTGAAGATCTAGAGTACAGTTGGCAATAAAAGTTTTAGCGACTTTATATTTTTCAATTTTTTCTTACATTCGTTTCAGATTTTCTTGCATATTACTCAAGGGTACGATCCTGATAGAAATTATGGTATAGATAATACGAAACGCGAGCTACATGATGCACCAGAATACAAGAGACTCTGTATATCTATATAGATTTTCCATGATTAATATGATTTTTCCATGCAAAAATAGATTTAACTGCTTTCCAATATTTTTCATTTTTCCTAACCATGAGATTTGCGATAAAATGGAAAAAAGTAGCCTATTTCACAGAGAATTTCATGTTCTATTAGTTTTTATAAGCCATTTTTTCCTTTTAACTCCATCTTTACTTTCAAACTCGAATTTAGTGGGAATGGGAATGTGAGTACCCACAGCCATACGCAGACATCTACACCTGTTTTCACATTCCACATCCATATCCACATTCACACTCACAAGCTCGATCAGTCATTGATGATTTCGTTTTCCTCGACGAAAGATTGTAGATGTCCAGTATAGGTAAAAGCTGACCAAAATTATAGGAAAACTGAAATATGACTTCGAAGATCCTTCGCAGCGTTTCGTCCTTCGTTTGCCTAAGAAGAAAGCATTCAGCAACCTACAAAGAATTTTATTGTCTATGGATTTATGAGATTATACGTTTTCGATGGACGACTGACATTGGTCAACAGGCAAAAACTACCGAGGTTTTTACATACTCTGAAATAGTACTGCGAAGATTCTTCAGAAGATCTGAGTTCTAAATTGTTGAAGGCGAAAGCATACATGAATCAATGCAAAATTACATGGCATATCAGATGAAAATCTCGTTTTTCTCTGAAATATGAACATCTATGTGAACATAACTAAAGACTAGCCGAGATCATAAAGAAAAGCTATGTTGAACTTTGAGATAACGTTTACACGGTCTATCTTTTCGTATGTCGAGACATCAAACAGAGAGGAAAAAACAAATTCCTTACTGAAGCTGTGTCCAGAGGTAGAAACTTTGATATTTCACAAAAAACTACCGAACTTGACAAAGATTTCGCAGACTTGTTCGAATTATCCTCAGCAAACATTTGATACTTAGTCCAGTACTTGGTAATTTGCGTACGCAATTGCATCTGGTCCTTCAGTACATTTATTTAAGTCGGTTTGTACTGAGCACCGGTACTCAATACACACTTTCTTAAGAGAATGCTTGCTGGTCTAAAACAATACTTCAGTTTGTTCATTTCTGGTTTTTTCTTCTTTACATATGGTTTTAAGTGTTTCTATATACCAAACATATTTTAATAACTGCGAAATGGCTATAAAGTGGTAAAGGAATGAACAAAATTGATCTTTTCTCAAATAGTCTTTTAAGCAGACAACAAATATGTAAACCACACGTATTAAATATTTCTATCACCTTGAATCGTTTGTAAGATAATTCTTTGTGATCACCAGGTCGTAATTCTTGCTTCTTTCTCCATAAAATAGTTTTCTGTGAATTTTTACTTCAAAATTGAGTCACGGTCAATACAAGAGATTTCTATGATGCTTTAAAATTTTCATTGGTTTAAAAAAAATCACCAGTTGAGGAACATTAGGTTTATAGAAGTAGAAATCAATGAGTTCGAAATTTATCAATTTTCATATCAATAGATTAAATAACTATAGTAATGCGGATGCTACCTTCTAACATTTTTACTATTGAATGTGTGTGGTTGTGAGTATACGAAACATATAGACACGCTCATGTACTCCTATAACCACACTTCTTACACTCACATCTGGCTGGTAGTTGCCTAATCACACGATTGATAATAGTGCATCAGGTTCAGCCAGGTCTGATCTACTCGGACTGCTGTTAATACCGATCTTCGACAAGCCAAACTGGCTATATTCTTTGTCATGCTTTCGCCAAAATAGCATCAGGAATGGTAGCTTCGCCTCTAATTGTTTCTATACTTTTTAGATTTTAGTGTAACTACTGAACTCGATTCTAAGTTTTTGTTTAACCTGCGTTATATTATAATTGGAAAACATGACCTGGTTCAATCGCATCAATTTCAACTATGTTGAATGTTATTTTGGGACCCTTAGCAACTATAAACTACTGTATCTACTCGTGTTTACACGATATCAGAAGAAAAATTTCTTCCTTTCGTGTCATCACATCTATAAAAAGGATATAGTTAAAGACAAAAAACATCTAAGGTAAACTGGTAGTCGATTATGTTACATGAACTGACACTTAAAGTAAGAACCCATAGTATGTTGCTACATAACACGTATCTATAAAAATATAACACAAGATTCAAATCACGAAAATAAATGGTGCAAAAAAGTTTCAACCAAGAGGAGACACCTTTCATGATCTCGATCGCTCGTAAGCTGCCGATCTGCTCGCCTACTCGAGAGTACGAAAATAGAACAGAGTCTGGAATCACGCTATTCATCAAGGCAACGACTTTTAGTATGAATATATGTCATATACAATTGCATAGACTAAATACAAACAGTAAATCCTTACTTACCGTTGAACAATGCCCAAGGATGATGAAATTCGAAACAGAACGATAAATGCAATAGCTGTGTATTCAAATGAAAGAAAATAAACTGAATACGATGCGAAGAAAAATACGTTTATTATCCTTTTTAGACGGGTGATCACTGTTGCATAAATCGTTTTTGCGTCACAAGGATAAAAAGAAACAACCAATCAGCTGAAAGAGCTTGTATACAATCCTTTCTTTGCATCGTACATCATGAATGATTACTTCAGTTCATGTATGAAGAGAAAAAATGAAATATACATTGATCAGCTCTCTTACATTAACGATACACGTGCAGATAATCAGATACGAGAGCATGTATGTATACGATTTTCGTCTTATGTATTACATAACAAAATTTTGTTAATATATTTTAACGTATGAAGACACAATGAAAGATACATTTGTAGACAATTTTTGGAGTGAAGGTTAGGAATTCAAGGGTACTTAAATTCAAAAAGCCAATAATTTACCTTATATATATTCCCTCGACTGTAGGGAGGGTCATATGCAAAAAAAAAGAGTTTGTGTGTGTGTCTGCATCGGGGTCAAAAAAAACTTCCACTTTAGAAAATTTTTCATAAAGATTGACGAAAGTAAATCGGGGTTGGGGAATCCGAATCTGAAATCAGTTTCTCAAAATTTTGAATTGGGTTTTTAGGGTCAAGAAAAGGGTTTTTTGAGAAAATAATGATATTTTATAAAGGTTGACGAAAGTAAATCGGGGTCGGAGAATCCGAATCTGAGGTCAGTTTCTCGAAATTTTGAATTGAATTTTTTTGGGTTCAGGAGAAAAGGTTTTTTTTGAGAAAATAAATTTTTTCTCGAGTGTAGGAACAATTATATGAAATAAAATAAGTTTTTGTCATAGTGGATGGTGAAACATCATAAAAAAACGTTGGCTAAGTATTCGATTCTCGTGCTTTTAATATTGAATTTTCAACCAATTCAATTTTTCAGAATGAAAATTCAGTCAATCCGACATATGTGATAAGTTCTTCCTTAATCAGCTGTTTCATAACTGGGTATCCATGGATGAGACTTGTATACTTCTGTCTGATACATTTGAGGGTCAAGTGAGTCGAACCGACGAACGTTACTTGTTAATAATGATGAGTAAAAATAATTAATTAATCAGCTAATGATTGATGACTCAGCGTGCATTTCTTAAAGCCGACTGATTTAACACATGTTTGTACTGAAAAATACACACCTGTTCTTCACAATAAATCTGATTTAAATAAACAGCAATATTAAACTTGTTGACCAAAATATATACATCTTGAATGAATGATTTTTATTTATGAAAGACTCATCTTAGTATAGGTTAAGGGAATACCAAAATCTGGTCAAAGATAAGTCAATAATGTCTGTAGCGGTTAAAATTTTCTCTATCTTGTATTTTGACATGACAGCTGGTAGCAATATGTATTTAAAAGCTACTAGTAATGGCAAGCAACGTTTAGATCTCATTTAACAAGTTTTGTTGAAGCTAAAACTGCTTTAATAACTATATATTATTACAATGTTTGTATAACCTCATCATTTCTTTTTTATACTCATTTAGCTTCTACTTCTATGAAAATGAACTTTTTATTGAAATTCTTTGGTTTTTTTCTTTGTGCTCATAATACATTGATTTTTGTAATGTCAACTCATTTGTTCATTTCTCTTCTTCGAAATAATTCAAGGAAAGCAAATCTTCACACAAGGCAAAACTCTAGTTGAAACAATTTTTTTTTTTTCATGTAATCAACGAATAGTTAATGGTGTAAACTATGATAAATCTGACAAGAAAAGAAGCTCTATGAGCGAAAAACATACAACTATTATGAAAAATTTCGTTTTAGTTTTCTCACAAAAATGTAAGATACAAAATATTCACTCAAGTCTAGTAAAATGACCATAAAATTATACTAGTGTTATGTATTTCGAAGTATTTTTTTTTCAGATGATAGTTGTAATCTTCATCTATAAAATTACCTATTTCAATCAATTAAACGTATGTAAATTTGTTACAGATATATTATCGATGCACTGAAAGAGGGATTGAAACTTTTTGACTAACGTTGTTTTTCCACACTCTAAGATTTAATTATAAAAAAATGAAAAAGATCTTTTTGCTTAATAAAAAATTGTAATTTCTATTCTCATTTCCGACAATATTATTTAATACATAGTTTCTTTTTTTTTTCTATCTGCATGCTATTCGAGATGAAAGTTGAAATAAAAGCTACACATTATTTTTATTACAATTGATTTCTTTGTTTAAAAAGATCATCAATATTTTTGATTGTAGAAAAATCTGCATCATTGTATATATTAACGATGATTATTTAAGAAGAGATCACTGAAAAAGATTTGTGCTATATATTGAATAAATATTTCATTAAGATACGTCACACAGGATAAGTAACAATGAATATTACAACAAAAAAAATGCATGCATCGTGTCATGTCTAACATCTTCCAATTAACAACGACAAGTCATCGAAGAAATTTATGCATGCATAAAAATGATTATGGAGTCCATCAAGCAATTGCTAAAGTAATTATATGATTGTTAAAAATCTTTAGAGTTAATATTTTACAATTAAGTTGTATTGGATTATTTTTTTTTCTATTATTTCATAGTAAAAATGAAATATATTATAATAGTTTCAATAGAAATTAGAAAAATTAATATGATAAAAATCTAGATATTATTTTAATAGCTTGAATGAGTTTAATACTGAAATGAACATTTAAACAAAGTATTAAAAAAAAAACAAAACATGCAAATCTTATAATGATATTATTATAATCAAGTAGCGTCCCCTTTCTTCCTATAAATATAATACCAGCAATTATGAACTTAGTTTCTCAACGTAACAATTCTTCCAATAGATTTTAACAATTCCATAGATGTCAAAATGCGTAGAGGCAAAATGATACATAAAGATTTGCTATGAATAGAAACCAATAGCAAAGAAGATCTTAGTAATCAACAAGCATATAAATAAACATTGATTCACTAGTGTCATCATGGGATCATATTAATATAAATGCATTCCATCATCGTAGTTATTATTATTTGCTAAACATATTTTTCTTCATATTTATATCTTATAATATTAAAGAAAAGAATTCATACGAACACGATGACGTCGTTGTTTCCCTTTCTTTTTTTTTTTTTTTTTTTCTTCTTCAGATAATATCACACTATAATTCAAAAGCCATCAACATAGTACTCCATACTTTGTTATCAAAATGAACGACGAAAGTATGCGCAATGAATTAACATCTATTCAAATGCAGATGAATCAAACAACGAATGAAGTAAATAGTTTAGTTTTCACTCTTTCTATAATTGATTGCTTAGATATTGTGAAAAGGATAGTTTAAGTAGTAAGGATAATAGCGAAGAAAAAAAGAAAACATTTGCCGAAGGCGTTGCATTTTCTTTTCCGATTATTAGAGTGGAAATAGAATCAGAAAGCGTAATTTAGAATTCTTATTTTTTTTTTTTGTCGACACTGATCTATATTTACTCAATTATATGAAAGAATACTACTGACCGTTCTCGATCTCATTCATTTCTTTTTTTCTTGCTCTATTCAAGAGTTCCTTTTGCATGCATGTGTATATACATTTGGCACTTGCCATTATTCTTGTTTCTTGTCTATTTTTATCAAAAAAAAAAATTTGATCAAAATAATAATTAGCATGAAAACCTTTGTGTATTTTCTCTTGTTTCAATAAAAGAGAAAAAAAAGAAGTAATTTAGTAATTTTTTTGTTAATAATATGACAATCTCATACTAATTCCGGTCTATCCAAACAATTAATAATTGAAGAATAAAAAAACATAAAGAAAAAAAAAATTTAAATTCCAGTTCATTTCTTTTATAGAAATAAGAAACGGTGTATAATAATTTCATCTTTGTTGCTAAATGCATCTCATTATAATCAATAAGACGTGTGATGACAATTGTCGGAAATGGAAAATTTATTTTTGTTTCTGTTTTTTCTTCCTTTAGAACATCTATAACAAAAAAAAAAAAAAAAAGAAACTCAGCCGTACTTCTTATTGCTTCTTTTTCTTGAGTTCTAACATCAATCGACAACGAGTAGAGTAGTGCGTTTACTATTCTCTCTTCTTTTTATAGGACAATCATCAGATGAATGAAGTTTTTCTTTTATTTTTTCTTCTCCTTTCTTATTCTCTATAATACTTTAATTTTTATTGTTTGAAAATGTAAAAATAAAAAAAAAAACAAAGAAGAATTTCTTTCCTTCATCCTAACTATGGTATTATCGTTCAAATCAAATACAAATAATAATACTAATAATGATGAACCACCGAGAGAACTTACAGAAGAAGAACAAATTCTATTGGCTATTGATCAGAGTGTTCATGAGGTAAATTAATTATGAAATTATTAAGAAAAAAAAAGAAAATAGATTGTACAGTATAAAGTTTAATTTAATGAATGAACGAAAAAAAGAAACAAGAAAATGAATTTTTTTTTATTTAGTCACTTGAATCTACTAGGCGGATGCTTACACTTTGTGACGATGTAAGTAATTGTGATGTTCAATTAATTAATCAAATAGATTCATTTTATCTAGAGTAAAGAAGCCGGAATTCGAACTTTGGTTATGTTAGATGAACAAGGAGGTAAGTCATCAAATTAATTAATTTTTTACAGTTTCATATTGCTACTTGAAAAAACTTGAGATTTATTTTTGATTGTATTTTGTACAAAAATTTTGAGGATAAGAATCATCAAATGCAATTAAATTGTCTTTTCTTTTTTTTTTAAATTATTTTCAAAAATCAATTTTCGGTGCAATGAAAAACCGAAAAAAAAAATTCTTTTTTTTTTTTTTATCAAGTCTTTCTTTTGTATGTTGAAAAGCTTTTTTAAGATCTCCATCGAAAACATATCATCATGCTATAAGTTATTAATTTCTAGTTCAATTTTACTCTTGAAAAAAGAAGTACACTTAAATTAATATAATTTTCTGTTCATTAGAAAGATAATTGAAAAAGAATTATTTTTTTAGATTTTTCCTTTATATTATTCATTTGATATTGATGAGATCAAATATCTTTTGAAAATCATACTTTCGATTAATTTCAAAAAAATAAAATTTTGTTTGTTATCTATTTTAAAATGTTATGATATATTTTTTTTTTGAATTTTTGTTAGAACAACTTGATGCAATTGATTCTGGTATGGATCGTATAAATGCTGAAATGCGTGATGCAGAAAAAAATCTTGAAGGTCTTGAAAAATGTTGTGGATTATGTGTACTTCCATGGAAAAGGTAAAATTTAATTTTTTCTAATTTAATAAATTTTGTTTTTTTTTTTGTATATTTATATAAGATCAAAAAATGTTGAAAAAAGTGCTGCTTATAGTAAAACATTTAAAGGTAATGAAGATGGAAAAGTAAATGCATCAGGTCCACGACAAATAGTTGGACAAAATGGTGTTGGACCTGGTTCTGGTTATATTCAAAAGTAATTTAAAAAAAAAACAACGAAGATGTTTCTTTTGAATATTTCTTTTATTAAGAATTACAAATGATGCAAGAGAAGGTGAAATGGAAGAAAATCTTCAACAAGTTAGTACAATGATTGGTAATCTAAGAAATATGGCGTGTGATATGGGTAATGAAATAGGAAATCAAAATGTTCAAATTGAACGTATTAAGGGCAAAGTAAGATTGAAAATATTAATATAATTTTTTTTTTTTATTTATCGAATATTTTTTTTTTTCTATAGACCGATATTAGTCAAATCCGTATTGAAGTAGCTAATAAACGAGCAAATGCTTTGTTAACCAAATAAATTTTCTTTTTTTTTCTTCTTATTTTATTTTAATCTCACGACAATAGTTGTGCAAGTTCTTTCTTTCTGCCTAATATTTGTGCAAAAATGAAACAAATCAATTATATGTTTTACTTCTATTTCTGTCTTTATTTTATTTTTTTGCCTTTTGCTTGTTGTTTGGTCAGGTCTATTCACATAATATGTATGTTTGTCTGTATATATATATTTTTCTCTGCATAATCTTCAAATATGTATTAGCATATTTTTAAATTTATTTATTTTTATTAATTATAAGATCTGCTTTATTGATAGAAGAAAGGTATGCATCATATTTTCCTCATTTTTTATTGAAAATATGTTTCCGTGTTGTCTGTGTTAGAGTTCTTTTTTTTTCCTTCACTGATGCAATATAATCTTTTTTCTTTATTTATTTTTTGTTATTTATCTGTATAATTATATTTGTGTATTTTATCATGACAATTAATATGAATGTAGCAAGTATTTGAATAAGAGTTTTCATTTCATTTTGAAATATTTTTTACGATAAGTAGATTGTATTAGAAACAATCGTGATTGAAGATATATGAAATATGACAAAGATTAGAACCATATTAAAGAGAAATTGCCGAAACTATAGATACAACTGCTATCGATCACTAGTAAACTAGTCATTACTGATATGTCTTATTTATTTTTCTCTTATAATGAAACTGGTTTGTAGACAAGTACTAGTACCGATGATGAAAAATATTATCTCAGTCGATATTGAATATTACAGCTCAATGTTGTATGGTTTCAAATTAATTATTGTATAAATCATATTCACTAGAATACAATTCAAAAGATATGACCTAATAACTGCTAATCGTGAGCTAAATAAATAATGAGAATAAAGCTTGGAATAGGCTTTTTTTCTGGAACAACTCTTACACATCTCTAGTCGTGCTAGATTCGTCTATGAGTGTCAAGAATGAGTAGACTAATATGTATTGAAAAGAGTTCCATTCTCCATTGTCCAACTTGATCATGAGAAAGGAAAGACAGATCTGGTTATAGATAACTCTATATTCAGATTTCCTGGTTCTTTTTTTTCTATTTTACTGTAGTAATTTAGATTAGGAAAAGATTGAAAGATTTCATCTTTATCAAATTTTCTTCTTCAATGAAGATAATGTCAAAATACCCTTTAGATCATCTTCGACATTGTATTTCAAATTTACCATATTGCATAAAAAACGTTTTCAATATTGATACCTGAGTATAGAAGATACTAGATGATTTTAAATTTTTATAATGAACTTTGTAGAATATTTACCTGACAAAACAAATTAATCGTGTAAAAATGTCACGTCCTCTCATTTCAAAGTTCTTTTATTATTAAGCACATCAGTCAAAATTGCAAAGTAGTCAGACTTAAAAATGTCATATTAGTATTAGTATTCAAATTATGATAATACTTTAGGCATTAGTATTAAAATTTTTCTTCTTGTTTTGATATTATTTGCATTCGAATTCATTAAGATCAAGCTGTTAACATTAAATTTGTGTTATTTTTAATTCTTATATATGTACTACATATGATTATATTACCTTTGACGAGAGGAATTTCTTCAAGTATCAAATTCCTTTTGGTTCGAGTATATATTCAAAAGATAGATCTAGATAAATTGTTAAATATCCAAGAATGATTCGATTTTCCAAACTTTCTAAACAGAGATCTACGTTTATTATTAATAATAGTATTATTATACTACTATTTTATTTATATTTTTGATATCTTGAATGTATATATATTCTGATCTGGTTCAAACTTATATCATGAGTAAGACATTTAACACTGGTGAAGTTTATGGATAAATTGATGTTTTTAATTTGTTTGACATAATAGAATGATAATTGAAAAACAATATATGATTTTACTCAAAGATACAAACATCTATGTTTTAATCAACATTTATTATGTCAAACAAATTAAGATCTTCGATAGAAAACATCAACTTATCCATAAACTTTGCGATTCTAATCAATGATAAATGCCTGACTAGTAGTATAAATTTGAAACAGATTAGAATACATATGTAGTCAAGATGTCATAGATATATACTGTTAATAGTAATAAGCGTAAGTCTGGAAAACCGAACTATTCTAACATGTTTAATAACTCATCAAGATCTATCTTTGGACCATATACTCTAAATAAAAGCGATTTAATACGTGAAGGCGTTCTCTCGTGAGAATTCATATTCAAGAGTTTCCGATAATAGAATAAAGGAATTAACTGAAAATGTTATTCCACCCTCAAAACAAAATTGTTCGGTTTTGAGAACTTCTAAGCTTAGAATATTCAAGATCTAGTCATTAGTAATCTGTGTATTCGAATAACAAAATAATACTAACAGCTTAGCAATAATTCATTCTAGTGCTGAAAATATTGAAGTATTAAGATTAATTTTATACTAATGTCTATAGGGTTAGGATTAGTGTTAATAAATATTAATGCTAATTTTAATATGACACCCTTAGTCAGACTTGAAGAATACTATATCAAATGAGTATTCGTCTACCTTTATATCTGAATGTCAGAAAATTATAAAGTTCGACATCTATCAAAAAAATTTTTATATACTTTGGCAAAAATTCTCTAATTCATCACTTGAAGTGTTTTTTTGTTGTTGATAACATCATCATCATCATGAATATTTATTGTTAGCAAATAAAATGATTGTTCTTTATTCTAAATCAGAAAATAAAAAAAAAAACATTCATGACTATTTATAATCAATGAATAATATTTGTCTATGAAGTAATATAATCATGTTAATAATAAATATTATTAAATGAGTAATTATATCAACTTATATTTCTTTTCCATATTGACTAATATTAAAATGAAATTCTATATATAACCAATGAAATATACATGCTATTTAATCCGTATCATTTTATTTTGATATTGCAAATATTATTATTGAGATAATGAAAAATGATGATTTAAAATTAAGACAATAATATTTTTCCATATATATATATATATTGTTGCATTGAATAGAAAAATTCTTTTTTCGTTATATGAATCAAAATTAATTTTTGAATTACGTATATTAAGTAATATATAATATTTCAATACTTGATTATACCTAGATAAACTTATTTATCGAAGCTATGTAGATAAAATTATCTATTTAGTTAGTCGTACACACTTTTTTACGTATTTAAATATTTTATCTTGTTATTTTTTTGTTTATTGTTGATAACGTTTGTTTTTTTCTTTTTTTTATTATGCATTATTAAATTTCATTAGCTATTAAGATTTGTTACCAAAATTAAAAATAAAAATATAGCCGAATTGCACATTAATTTTAATAATTCTTGATAGAAAAAAAAACTTCAATTAATTGTTATTATTTTTTTCATTTCGAAACACTAGAAACAAGTCATCTTCAAACGGAATAATAACTATATAATTATTATATACAAGTGTTTTCTTTTAAAATATATATTTAATTAAATATTATATTAAATAAAATAATAACATCAAACAATTCTATTTCTTGTTTGTGAATATAATAAGATCATTTAGAACATATGAATATATTATTTATATTAATTGGTTTTTATATAGTCATATTTAATATGCATGTAGATATTTGAATGTTTGTGTTATTTTCAATTGAAATGAATAACAATTAAAACTATAGTCTAAATGTTAGGAATTTATTCTGTACTCTTGAAAAATTCTTGCTTTCGTCTAGCGTGATATTGACTTTTTTTTATTACTGATTCCCAAAAAAAAAAAACAAACGAATGACTCTTCCTGTCCTCGGATTCAGTTAGTATTAGCAGAAATCTTCTAATCTTCCTTTCGAGTCCTCCACCTCTTCCGTCTGTAAATATCTCCATGTTCATTCACATTTCTGATAGTTGTTTAATTAATTTTGCTACCAACAATATGTTTATTCTACTTGAAGCCTTTGCCCCTTCACTTCTGTTATGTGCCATTCCTTTCTCTTCAAAAATTTTTGAAGATTTCCATCACCTACTACTCAAAAAGTAGGTTGTTTTCAGAAAATCTTTTTTCGTCTTTCCTTTCTTTTGTTTAAAAGCGTATGTCAAGATGTACGACATGGCAGAAACCATTTTTTGAATTAAGCTTTGTTACTATTATATAAAAAAAGTGCTTTTATAATTAGAGCGCCAGATTTTGAGAATTTTTTTAAGACATTGAACCTGTCTCCTCTTAAAAAGTAAGAATTTTAATAAGAATTTCAGATTGCCAAATAAACTATATTTCACCCTAGTTTGTTGAATATCTCTTTCAAACATCATGATATAGAGTTGAAAATTTGATCATGGCCTTTCTACTATAACCAAAAAATATTCTGAAATTTTCATGCGATTTGAATATTCATGATCGGTTTTTGAAGTGGAAGAACCTAAGTAGAATTTGAATATACTAAATGATCTATTCTTAAAACAGATTCAATAGAAAAATACTTTACTGATTTGTGAAATTTTCATATTTATAAACAAATAGAATCTAATCTTATATTTCGATTGACAATAAGAAATGAGTTTGAATAGATGTTTTAATTTACTTGCCATATGTACATATCAATGAGTAGTAATCATAACATACACTATTTTATAAACATAATAATCTATATATATATATGTTAGAAAAATCTAAATTGAAATTAATTCATAAGAAACTAATCTGAGATTTGATCTTTCATAAACGATATAATTTTCTGGTTTGGTTTTCATTTTTTGATGATTTCCGTCACTTGATGGTTGATCATTTTGTTGTTTTCGCTTTTTTTGGAGGGAAAGTCGCAATTCTTTTTCGGTTTTTTTTTGGTCGTAGAATTCTTTGTTAGACTTTCATTTGATATTTTGCCTATTGCTTTGTTTGAGAAAGCATACCAAAATACAGGAGATGACGGAATCCTTTTTTTTTGACTTGGCCTCTGTTACTAATCTGGAATAAAAGAATACCTTTATAATTAGAGCGCCATTTTTTAAGAATTTTTTGAGTGACTGAACTTTTCTACTCTTAAAAAGTAGGATATAAAAAAGAAGAACTCTGTCACGTTCTAAATCCTAACAAACTCTTTCAAACAGAAAAAGAATTCAAGTGTATAGAATGAAAGCACACCGAGAATCTTAGGTTCCTAAATGATTTTTTTTGTTTTATATCTATGTATTGAATGTCTCCTGAAAATGTCATGGTATAAGGCTAAGAATTTTATCAATCTTCTCACGGCAGTTAGTTCTAGCATATCCTGAAGTTTCATGCAATTTGAATGTATTTGTTTCAAAGTCGATTTTTAACGAGAAGAAGATTTCAATTTTATCGAAATTTAAATAGTACAATTCGACTTGTTTTATTCAGAGTCAATAATAGTAAATGATAAGTGTTTTCCGAAATGACAAATTTTCAAATATTTTCGTTTGTTTTTCAAAAGATCAAATATGAATTATGAAAAATGTAATCATCCGATTATTTGACTTGGGCATCTCTAAAAACAAATATCATGTATTAGTACCTATAATCCTCATTATATATGACATATAATTCTTTTTTTTTAAAATAAATATGATGAATACTTTAGAAATGAAAAATAGGTACTTCAATAGTATGTTTTGTTTAATAGCTCATGTATTAATGCTTGAACACGTAGAAATTGATAGTCGAAAAATGACTAAAAAGTCATGTACTTGTTACAGACAAAATGATTATAAAAATTAATTGAAATTAAAAACATCCTATTTTAAATTGATTTAATTAATGTGTTAAGTAGTACCCAAGTTCATTTGTATGACATAATCTGTATACTAAGCAGTTTTAACATTAAACGTTTATTGAATTAAACTGTAAAACTTTAACAATAATATCACATCATATTTATTAAGTTTTATCATACAAAAAACAATAAATAAAGATTTTAGTACAAGTCTCACGAGATTAGAATGTAAAATACAACGTATCTGTTGTTGCTAAGATTATATTCTATCTATTTTTGGATACATTGCTTCAGTATCCTTTTACATAATCTTTCAAAAAAAAAAAAATGCAATAAGGAATTAGTTGACATATTATCATGCGACGCTATTGATATACGGCCTATGATCGTATATCAACGTCTGCAAAGACGGTAGATCTAAACTATGACTCATATACGTCAATATTTCTTTTACTCATATTTCACAAAAAAAAAAACAAAATATTTACTATGATAATTTAACTTGAAATAAATATTAAATATAATATTCATCAATATACTTTTTAGAATTATTTTTTTTTTCTTTCAAAATATATACATATCTATATTGTTTAATATTTATAAATTAACAATCAAAATTACAGTTAAACATGAACGAATATTTAATAAAAGTGGATATTGTTTTGAAATAAAAACAAAAATAACTTTTATTAAAATCTAAGACGAACAACATGTTCATATTTATTTTGTTTGTGAGCAACACTTTTTTCCAAAAATCGACATAGAACATTAAATAGTACTAATATACACATGTATATATATATGTATACATATATATACGTATGCTTTCGAATATGAATATTCAAATGTTCACTAGGATGTTTGTAAAATAGATTGCATTAATGGAGCAAACTTTTTATTCTGAACATCTTTTTTAGTTATTGTTTCTTTTGTTTCACGTGCCAATGAATGGGATTTCATACAACAAAATATAAGACGAGAAAAAAGGCATGGTGCTTGATCATAACCAAAACGTACATTCAAATAATTCCATAGAAGATCAGCGTAGACATTTTGAGCATTGAATACTTTTTCTGATTCGATTAATATTGGTTCAATATAATCGGCTCCTTTAGAAAAAATTATAATTAATAGTAATATTTTCATTATTAAATGATCATGAGAACATAGTTTTTGTATTTCATTAGTTAAATCTATGGCTTTAAAATAAATGGCATCGGAATAATTACGTAATTCACTAGCATGATAACAAAAATCATTTTGAGTATTTGGTTCATGAAAAATTCCAGTAGTGATATCCGTACATATTGTAAAATGTAAAAACAATATTGCCATTAAATTATGTTTAACAAGTATAAGTCGATCATCTTCATGTAATGACTGAAAATGTATTTATAAAAAAAAAAAAATAAATAAAATAAAATAAAATTTATCAAAAATCAAAAATAAAACTAAATAAAGTAGAAAAAAAAACCTACATTAAATTCTGGTGTTAGTTTAAAAAGTGTTATCATTCTTAAAGCACTTATATGAGCTGGTTCATTAAGAACATCAACAAAATCATTAAGATTTCTTAAACATGGATTATCATAACCTTTTATAACTGAAATATTTAATCGAACAGCTTGAGTATAATGTTCTTCAATTTTATTTAATAATATACGATCATTATCATTTAAAAAATATTTATATTCATTTAAATCTTCATCAAATGTTTCTTCAGAAGTTTGAAAAGAAAATGATAAATGTCGATCATCAGGTATAATAAATGGTGAATATGATGATGATGATGATGATTGAGATAATATAGATAAACTTTGTGATAGAGCACGTAAACGACGATTATCTTCTATTTTTTGTTTTTTTGTACGTTTTTCTTCTTCGGACATAATCCATTCTTTACGTAAACCTTTATCAAAACATTTTTTTAGACGACAATATTTGCACCTCTATAAAAGAATAAACGAAAAAAAAAATTATAATTAAAATTAAAATTTTGTGTACAAACTTTTCGAGTTTCCAATGAAATAATACAATCGTTTGTACCTACTCGACATTTTAATCTATTCTAATTAATTGTAAAAAAAAAAGAAATATGTATATAATTATATAAGTTAAAGAAATATAATGTCGAAATTTACCGCATTATTCAATGCATTTCGCCGGAAAAATGCTTTACAGCTTTCACATGTTATTTGATCAAAATTATAACCTTATTATATAAAAATATACGTATATCAAACAAATAAAAAATGCATTATGGATAAATAAATATCAGTTCTAAGTATAACATTAATTCTTACCCATTGCGGGTGCATGACATACAACACAAATAAGGTCATGTCGATCGCGTTTACGAAAACTTCCATTCGAATATGAACGTTTTCGATGTTGCTGTCGCATAGCTGTTGTATTTATTGTTGGTACTCTATGATCGCTTTGCATTATATCTATGTAGAATATTATTTTAATAAATATTATCATTTCAATTAATATTAAAGAAATAAAGTTTAAACGAATTATAGAAACGTAAATTCACATGTACTCCAATATAGTCAACAAGGTTCTGTGAGTTTGCATGTGATACTTTTTTTTTTGGAGAAAAAGAAAAGAAAGAAAAAGAATGGTAACAGAGTACAAGATCTAGACGAGCCAGTAGAAAAAAGAAAGAGAAAGAGACAGCGAGAGAAAAAGAGAAAATGATAGAATGAAGAGGCGGTGACGATTCATGTTGACGATGTATTTATTTGCCAACAGAATACATTTATTCATATAAGTTATGTTGTTTAGTATATAATGTAGCTAACGAAAGAAATTTAAGAAGTTAAACAATAAATAACAAATATTTTTTTCATGTATCCTAGGTACTATACAGACATAAAGACATCATGACTATAAGATAAGCTATCAAATAAAGTTGATAGACTCATTCTTTTCAAGTATATGAACTTGATGAAAATTTTTTTTGTTTCCTTACTAGAATTTAAAAAATTCAAACAGAGAAAAGTCAATTGATCTCTAATTCTCACATTACAATTCATTTTGAATGGGTAAATCTTAAAAATTCTATCCTTTAATATTCCGGATAGAATTATGTTCTTGATTTCTACCTTCATCAAGATTATCTTACTAGAGGTTTAATTTTCATATCATTTCTTATTCATGAAGAATTACAAAAATAGAAATCTATGTCGAACACATGTATATCAAATTTATCCGGTGATGCTATAAAAAGAAAAATAGACACCAATATCCATCTAACAATTATAACAAAAAGTATTTTTTTTTTGCCTTGCTTATTCCTTTATCTATGAATACTCACAAGAAAAGAATAACTCTAGTAATTATATTTTCTTGTCTGATCATATAATTAAAAGAACTCTTTTTTTTCTTATATAAATAATTTAAAATATCAAAATATATACTATCTAATATTTCTTTCCAAAAGGCTAACTTTCTTTTTCTCAGACGAAAATTCCTCATATTATTATCTAAGACATGTTAACATGATTAAGATTAATATTCTAGAACTCAAGCAATCTCTATAACCTATCGACTATGACGTTTTATCATGAGACTGATATTAAGATATATTTCCTATCTCTAAGAAACTATCACATTCAGAAGATTTTAACAATTCTATTTAAATATGCTTGAAATCTCCTAGAGTAAATTTTTGTTTATATTCTAATAGAAACATGAAAATGTTTTTTTTTTTGCGTTTTTTTTATAATTTCATTTTTTTTCTAATTTAAGAAAGCAAAACAATTCATGTCAATAATCTATACAAATACAAAAACATTAACAGAAAAAACAAAAAGAAATATATTTGCATCTGAAAAAAAAACTATTCTTTCATTTAAACGATTAATGTAACTGATTTCATAAGAGGTACAAGTAAGTTTGCAACAAACTCATTTTTAATATAATTTAATCGAATATTATATGCTTGTAAATGTACTTCTATTGAAGATGTAACAAGTTTTAACCATATATTAACTGTTTTTGTAAAACCATATTTAACTTCACAATATTTCCATAATAAATTAATGAAAATATTTTGTACATTGTATATAGATAATGCATCTTGTACTATTGGTTCAGCTTCATCTACATATGTACACATTGATGAACCTTTTGAAAATAATAATATTATTAATAATATTTGTGTTATAAGACGATCATTTTGTGATGCATCTAATAATCGAACAATAGAACGTGTTGATTGTACATATTGTTGTAAACTAAAACATTGAATAAAATCTTTACCGGAAAATACACAATCATCTGTACCATGTTCATGATAACTATCAGTTAATGGATCATAGTTTAAAGCTAAACGTATAAATACTAATGTAAATGTATTATATTTAATTAAAATTAATTTATCATTTTGATTCAATGATGAAAATTCTGGTATAAGTTTAAAATAAGAAATAAGACGTGATGCTTGAATATTAGCTGGAAAATTTAACATATCCCATAGAGCATCAATGCGTGCTGTATGTGGATATGAAGGTGTTGATGATGGTAATGATATTAAACGAATAGAATCTATATATGCTTGTTGAATTTGTTTGATTTTGTTTAAATCTTCTGATGATAATAATATTGAAAAAATCCAAGGAGAAAAATTTATATCTTTAGTTTCAAACGATTCATTTTGTATTGTAATATTTGATGACTATGAATATAAAACTCAAAAACAAAATTCTACTAACTTATTCTTATTAATCTACTTCATCTGATTCAATTGAATTTAAAGAAAATATTTGACGAAGACGACGATTTTCTTCAACTTTATTTCTCTTCTTTATACGTTCGTCATCTGTTAATATCCAATCTGCTCGCATACCTATTTCAATTCAATACAATAGATTTATATATATATATATTCTTATTCTAATAAAAACAAAACAAAAAAAAAACAACAACAACCTTTTTCAAAACATTTTGCTAATCGACATGCTTTGCATCGTTTTCGTGTTGTTACTGTAATAACACATTGACCATCATTAGTTCGACATAAAAGTTTTCCCTATAGATAGAATAAAAAAAAACAAAAAAAAAGAACAATATCATATCACTAATTATATTATTCATATATACATCAGATCTTAAAGCATTTCGTCGAAAAAATGCTTTACATGATTCACATGAAATAGCATCGAAATTATAACCATGTGCTGGTCCTTCACAAATACTACATATTAACCCGTCTGATTTTTTTCGTATATAATTATTATAATGTTCTTGTTGTTGATGGTTATATATAGAAAATAATTCATCTTTTATAGTATTCTTGTTAATCTTAAGACTATATTGACGATGTGCAACTCGTTTACGACGACGTGTATTACTTTGATTCATAGTTAATTTATAAATTGATAGTTTTTTTTTTGTTTTTTTTTAGAAATGCATTAGTTTAGAAATGATTATCCTAATATTTGAATAAACAGAGACGAAAAAGAATACGAAGAAAGAAAGAATAAAAAATTGAATAAATAATATCCAACTAGCCAAAGTCTACAATGCAGAATAAAAAAAAAAAGAAACAAATAGTAAAAGGCAAAAAGAAAAAAAAAAGAAAAATGAGAAAAGAGTAATGAGTTGATGATATACTTTTGACAGGTACGCTACGAAAAATAACGTAAATTGTGCACTATAATATTTCTGTATTAGAACAGAAAAAGAAAAAAATTTAATCAATGAATATGCACACTTTTACATACATATATCTATTGTTTTAATATAGTTATTTTTAATTGCTTTTAAAATCTAGTAACAATAACAAAAAACAAAAAATATACAACAAGAGTTTGGTAAATAACTATTTCTTTGTGGTTTTTAAAAGTCTTCACATAAACATAGTCAAATTTATAATCGCAACAAAGTTACTAATAAAACGAGGGACAAAAAAGGAGAAAAAGAAGAAGTAGAACAGAACGAAAAGGATGTTATTATTGATCCTTTGCCTATGCCTACTGTAGTTTCTTGTACTCCGTTGGATGACAAACGATGAATACGAGAAAAGCAATGAAAATGTAAAAATAATAAACCTCTACTACTAGCATAAGGAAAGAAAAAAAAAAAAGAGAGCCCGCTAGTTAACCAATAGTTACTATTCTTATTTTTTTTTTTTTGCATATTAAATTTTTATTAAAGTGTTTATCAAGAAATTTAAAAACTATATATTAAACTAAATAAAAACGATAAATAGAATTTTTATTTAATAATTAAAATTATTTATTAACAATAACGAATTAGAGAGAAGACTAACTCCTGCTAAAATCTATGAATAATATTTAATCAATTAGCTTTTTATTGATATTAAGATTTGCAAATCATTTCAAACATTTATACTAGAAATACAAATGTATATTGAAAGAAAACTTAATTGTATATTCAAAAAAACAAAAAGGTTCTGTGAAGGCAAATGATTTATAAACTTTTTCAGATTCGTAAGAAAACTACACAAGAAGTTTTATATAATTTTTATGAATATCATTTTTCTTTTGTCATAACTGAATATTAACAATATTAATAATTATAAAGAAATCAGATTACCATCTAAGATATATAGTTCGATTCCCAGAAAAAAAGATGAATAGATGTCACTGTAGTAGTAAATTTACTACTAATTTACTTTGGAAAGGTTTTTGAGTTTTCTTCTTGGAAGAAAAAAAAGGTAAATTAGTCCAAGATGTACTTTAAATAATTAAAGAATGACTACTAGAACGGATACGACATATTTTAGGTTTCCATATTGATTTCATATAAATCTTCGTGTTTCTATGCTATTTAAGTACCTATCACAGTAAGAAACTATGTTCTCAGATATAATCAATTTTTGTTATGTGCTAATTTCTTTATTTTTTATCATCAAAAAAAAAAAACCGATTGAAACTTGCTTTATCATATAGAAACACAAACAATCAAATAATTTGTTCGTTCATATATTTATTTGAAATTAAAACAAAAAAAAAAAAAAAAACAATATCAACTAGACAAATTTGAATCTGATACTTGTAATACACTTTGCATTAATGGAGATAATTGTGTAGCATCAACATTTGAATGTACAAAATCTTTTAAATGTGCTGATAATCTTTGTATATCAAATAAACGATTAGTAAGTTTTGTAAATAAATTTATTGTTCGATTTAAACCATATTGATGTAAACAATATTTATATAATATTTCAACATACATATTATGTGTATTAAATACAATTAATGTATTATTTAATGATGGTTCATGTGCAATATCATAAGCACAAAAACCTTTAGTAAATAAAATAATTAATAAAAGTAATTTAATTAAAACACGATCATATTCAAGTATTTGAATTAATTTTTTTACTGTTGCTGTTATATCATGATAAAATTCTTCACCTAATATTTCAATCCAATCATATCCTTGAAAAATAGGATCTTCTGTATTATGTTCATGATATGTATCAGCAATAGGATCATAAATTAAAACTATATGTATAAATACAATTGCTAATAAATTATGTTTAATTAATGTAACACGATCTTCAGAATCAAATAATTCAAATTCAGGTATTTTTCTTAAATATGTTATAAGACGTAATGATGATAAATATGTTGGAATACGTATTAATTCAAGTGTTGAATGTATTGGGTGTGTTGCAGGATAAGGTGGTACACCAACAACTTGATTATATGCAATTGCTTCACTATATGCTGTTTGAACTTGTTGAATTTTTGTCCAATCAAATTGTGACATTAATGATATTACATCATTAGTTGTTATATGAGAAGATGATCTATTAATAGGACTAGTTTCATCTGTTCGAGACTGAAAAAACTAGAATTAATTGTTTTTTTTGTATATATTTGAATATATTTATATGCAATTCTTACGTATGTATGAGTACGTCTACGACGTGGTTTAGTAGGATCATTCGTTTGTTTACGACGACGATTTTCTTCTATTTTACTTTTTTTTCTTTGTTTACTATATATAAAAAAACAAAAAAAAAATTTAATATTAATAATATATTAATTGAAAAATCATATTTTTTTGCTTTCTTTTTGGTCTATTCAAGATTATCGATTTTTATTTTGAAAATTTTAATAATCTATTATATAGATTTTTAATTATTAGATGTGTATTTTAATTGTTAATGATGGATCTACAAAACTAATTAAGTAATTTTCAAGTTTTTAGATCTATAATTTATGAATTCGATATGAGTTCATCTTCGTGACGTAAACAGGAGATGGCCAGGTGGGGCTAAGCCCCACCACTGAGCGAAGCCGCGTCAGCTAAACACTTTTACGAGCCTCATCACCGACTTAGAGCTCGATCAGCTGAGCCACTCCACCGTTAAAATCTTTGTTTCGCCACTAGTTCATCTGTTGTTTTCAAATCAGTAATTAATAATACAAAAAACGAAACAAATTAGATTTTTATATCTTTATTAATCCATCAGAAAGCGGTAATTTTTCACGAAAGATTATTATTTATATTAATTGAGATAAGTATGCTACTATTCTACCGTTTTTCATCTATCTAATAATATTATTAACGTAATTTATCAAAAAAATAAATAAATGATATACTTAAAGTTTATGTATATATTATCGATGATACTAATTTATTGATTCATATAAGTAATTCTTTTTTACTTAAATAGATATTAGTATATAGAAATTAACTGCAATATTTCATTTCAGAAAATGATAAACTATATGTATTCATGACTTTATTATTTCAAAAGTCATGAATACATATAGTTTTATTTCATTTTAAATCGGAATGGTAGAATTTGAATATTTTTCTTCTTTGTTTATTTTTACTCAATAGAGATCTTTCGGAAGTTTTTTTTGTGATAGTAATTGATGAAGAAAGCATACAACCATTATAACATAGTTTATAAACTTTAACTTATGAGAGATTGACATTATAGTTATTATAAATTAAATATTTTCAGAGATTATAAAATGATTCTAAGAAAAGAAAATGTGTCAAAAACACATGTAATTTTTTGACATTAATTTCTATCGGCTCACATCTTCTTTTTTTTGTATTACTACAATAACATGAGATTGATGTTGTTTTTTGCACATTTCATAATATAGTCAAAAAGACAACAACAACAAAAAAATCAAGGCGTAATATGTTGTTAATATCCGCCCCCTCCTTCTCTCAAAAATGGATCTCAGCCCAGAAACATCCAAATTGCATGAAACTTTCAGGATATGTTGAGGTTAGTGAGCGATGACTATGGTAAAATTTTTGAGCCCTATATCATAACGTTTGACACAAATATTTCACTAAACAAGGGTCAAAAATAGCTCTATCATAGCGCCAACAGAATTCTATCATAGTAGGAGATAAAGTCAAATATTGTTTTTTTTTTGTTTGAAAGCTTGTGTCTAGATTCAAAAAAGCCCTTAAAAAAATGATGCTATTATTATAGAAATGTTTTCTTATATAAAAATTAAAAGGCTTTTTTAAAAGAAAAAGAACTACGTGAGAAGCTAGACCTAGACACAAGCTTTCAAACAGAACAATCTTTTTTTTTTGACGTTATCTCTTATTATATGATAGAGTTCTGCTGGCGCTACGTCGTTGAATCCACATTCTGACAGAAACGAAAAATGATTTTTTTTTGAATAGGCAGTGAAGATCTTTTAAAATTTTTGGAACAAAAAAAAAAGTGGTGCCGAATAAAAATTTTTCTCGCATATGAAAGAGCAGATGACAGGCTAGTTTCCCATGAAAGCTGCTCTCAATTTCAATGATTCAGGCGAAAAATAACTTTTTTGAGAGGAGGAAACGTCTTAAATCTTTCTTTTCTACCATGCGATCATTGGACTAATCAAACTATCCTACAGAATGATATGAACAATCATCGGATTGGGCTACATCATTAGCATATTAGACAAACTAATATTCTATCAATAAAGTTATTTTATCAGTGATTCTTCTAGAACTACTATGGGAGATAAAACATGAATAGAAAATGATTCCATTATAATAAAAAAAATATTGATGAAGTATACTGAAGAAATATTTTGTTTTCTTAGTTTTAATACTGATTACTGTACATAAGTGTTTGAAATTAATAATTGTAATATACATGCATTTGATTTTTATTTAAACTAATCTTCGTATTAGAACCTAAAAACACATGACTGTAAACTCAATAAGTCAGAAACGGTTATTTAAAAAGTTGTATGAAAATAATGTTCTATTTCGATGCAATTTTGATTCTGCTGATTAGTGGCGAAATCAGGATTTTAACGATGGAGGAGCTCAGCTGGTCGAGCTCTAAATCGGTGGTAGGACTTAGCCGCATCTGACCACCCCGTGGTTACGAATACACAGACTCATTCATTTTTCAATAAAATGTTTTTATTTTTCTCTTGAAATCTAATAATATAAACAAATTAATCAAATTAACATACTCTTCTTCAGATAGAATCCATTCTTTACGCATACCTAAAAAATACAAAAAATACCAATAAATAAATATAATGATAATATGATAGAAATTATCTTACCCATTCGGAAACATTTTTCTATTCGACATTTTTTACAACGTTTTCTAGTTGCAACAGTTACTTCACAATGACCATTACCACGACATTTGAATGAGTTCTATAATGAAATTTTCAAAATTTAAAACTATAATCTGTATTTTGAAGAGATCGTTATCATAACAGCGTATTTACAAAAAAAAAATGATGATATTTTCTAAAAGCGTGTGAAGTTTTCTATCAGTTTGTATATGTACTTATCAAAAAGAAAATTTGAGTACAGTGAATGCACTGCAAATTGAGAAGTACCGGAAATAATTACTTTTTTCAAAAGATAATTCTATAGTGATGAAAAATTTTAAAAACTAATTTTAGTGACAGTGACACAATCAAGTCTTGTGGAAATTTGCAGATGAGGATGCCTTCATTATACTCAATTTCTTTTAGTCATACCTATATTCAAAGGAAAAGGGAAATATACAGACTAGTAGAAAATTCTATGCACTTTCAGAATTTTCTCTCTATTCTATTCTTGCCTGTGATGTAATTATTATATGAAGTTATTAGTAATGTTGCTTAGTTTCTATTGAATATGGAAAAAAAAAAGATTACAGAAAGTTGAAATATAAAAACGATAATCAACAATGGCATCAAGGTTTTTTGGCCACCGCGAACTCAACTCACATCAAAATTTTCTATAGAATCACACCGTTAGCAACAACTTTGAAATTTTTCGAGGAACTTAGACAATTTTAGGAGAGTTCAACCTTACTGTGACGGACCTAGTCTTTACTTAATGTTTTCTATAGTTTTTCTCATGCTTATTTTACTAATAATTTTTTTGTTAATTATAATAATTCACTTTTCATATACATATTTATATTTGTCAATAATACTCATTTCATTAACTCTGTTCTTTTTTTTATCATACATATCTTTACTTCTCCTTCTTGAATACTATCTTCAATCAACTACTTCTTAACCTATTCAAATAATTTTTGTGTTCTTTTTCTATTCTTTTAACTCATAATGGCATGAGGGATTACACCCAGTTTTATCTTACTCTTCCATTTCGCTTTGTTCTATTATGGTGTAATTATTAAGGATAATCTCGAAATAAATCTTTCGTTATTATAAGAAGAATCGTATCATTATTTTCATTTTTAATTAAAAAAAAAAAATTAGCATCTTTGAATAACTCTTAAAAAGGGAAAAGAAATCTGGAAATGTAAACTTGAAAATATCAACAAATTGTGCATGAAAAAAAGTTTGTTAGTATTACTCAGTTCAAAATCCGTAATGTTAAATGAGTATGTATCCTTTACCTTCATTATATTAATACAAAAAACAAGTCAAGTAGAAAATTTCTCATAGAATAAAATTAATTTTTTCAAGATAATTGATTGTTAGAAAGACAAATTCATCATATTTATTTCTGTATTTTCGAACAGAATTTTTTTTTTCTTTTTTAAAGTTAATCTTGTTGTTATTCACTCATTATTTTTCTTAATTTAATATCATTTTCATTTATTCTTATCATTGACTTTATTGTCAAACAAACATGTTAAATGTATTCATATAAAATATATAGCAGTTCTTAACTAAGATGAAAAAAGTGAAAATACCGTACTTTAACGTACTCCTTGTACTTCCAGACTAAGCCATAACTGTGCATTAGATCTGTTTAGCTATTTCAAGTTTCCTATCGATCTATGTTACGCTATATTAACCGGAGTTTAGCCTGCATAAGTCTATCTGACAATAAAGCTCAAATACTTCATCGTACTTTCAATAAGAAACTTGGAATAGATAAACAGATCTGATGCACAGTTATGGCTTAGTCTGGAAGTACAGTATTTTTACTTTTTATCTCTTAGTCTCAACACATTATTATATATATCTTGTTGAACTCAAAAACAATAACAGTAATTATTTTCTAAAGTTATAACTTGATAAAGTCACGCTTGTTATATTGACCATATAGCAATTAGAACAAATCAATGCATCACTACTAGACACGTACGTGACTAAGTGTTTTTTTTTTAGTCTCAGTACCTTTTTTTATCTATGGATCCTAGTCTCATATATGTGTCTAGCCTCTATTCATCATTTTTTGATATCTTAAATATAAACTTTCACTTAACCTTTGAATTTCTCATATATGTTTTCGAATAGAAATCAATATTACATAGAAATTTATTCGAAAAAGTTTCTAATTTGATATAAATAGCTGCTTTAAAAAAAAAACTATAACTTACATTCTAATAACACTTCCGATAATTAAAATATAGTACGGAATGATTTTTTTTTCATCAAATTCCATTTATATAAAATTAAAATAGAATATAATTATGTCGATGTGAGACAAACTTTCTGAACTCATTTTCATTGTAATAATAAATCAGTCATAAAATGAATATTCTCATATTAATCATATTTTTATTATCTTATATATGAAGAATCTTTCAAAATAATCTATAACAAATATTAAAGTATTTATAGATTACCTTGAATTTATTCTAGTTATTAAAATTATCAAAAATTTTTCATATTGAAAATATGTAAGAGTTTTTCTTTATGAATTGAATAACAACAATAAAATTCAATAGAATCTCATAAAAGTTTAAATTATTTTAAATGAATAAATGAAAATTTTGTTTTTTTTACAAACGAAGATTACCTGTGGTCGTAATGCATTTCGACGAAAAAAAGCTTTACAAGATTCACATGAAACAACATCAAAATTATAGCCTAAAATCAAAAAAAAAAATTTATTTATTAAAAAACAAATATAAAAAAAAATATTCAAATTTTATTTTACCATAAGCATCATCACCACAAACAGCACATTGTAAAAAAGGTTTTGAACGTTTATTAACTATTGTATTTCTATTTGATATATTAGGAGTAAGTGTAGAATCTGGAGAAATTTCATCATCATTAAATAAATTCCAAAGATCATTTTCATCTTCTTTTGCCATTTTAAATCATTTATTATCAATGAAATTATCTTAAATAAAAAATACAAATTGATATGATTTAAAAAAATAATATTTATTATTTGATTTTATTATTGAAAAAAAATAAAAAGTTTTATCTCTTAAAAAGAATGACGTAATACATGTGATCTTTTGTATAACGTTTTCTTCACCTCAATAACAGAAGAAACAAAAAAAAAACTTTTATTTATATATATATACGCTCTCCATCAAAGAGGTTATAGAGTCGGAGGAAGAAAAGAAAAGACAAGAACAGAAAAAAAAAAGAAACATGTTGAATGCAAGAGAACTAATACTTATTTCGATCTGCAATAGGCATCTACACTCAATAAACGATGTCGATTGTGACTAATATTACTTCTTCTTTTCTATATGTTTGACGTGTTTTTATTTCTCAACGTTACTAACTCTGTTGTATTTCTTCTCACGCTGTATAATTTGAAACATAGATTTACGTTTGACTCGTACTTCTTGTTTTTTTCTATAAAAATTTTTAAACCAATCGATAAAGTTGCATACATGAAAAGAAGAAACAGGAAGGGAAAAATCTGCCTTTATGACATTCACATAGGCAGGTTAAAAAGACAAGATTTAATAAACTATTATTAGATTCTAATAAGATATTGTACATGTTTTCGTTTATTTTTCTTAGATAAGTAATTTCTATTCTTTTTTTACGTATGCAACAAAAAAAAGACTAACTATTTTGTCTTATTAATTCATAAGTTTAACAAAAAAAAAAAAATTCATCATTCTTATACTCATTATTTCTTTGAGTTTTGTTGTTACTTGACAAAAAAAAAAAATCATCGATAATAAATATTTATATAAATAAACCAAAAATTTTTTTTTTTTTTACAGAATGAAATCTATCATAATTATTAAAAGTAACAAATCAAAAACAAAAAAAAAAAGAACTATGTGACCCTTTATTTATCTTGGAAAAAAAAGTTATATTCTTATCACAAAATCATATATTTCATTAAATTTATTGATTTTTGTTTGATGTTAATATATACTAATAATTTAAGAAAAAAAAAAAAACATAATATGAAAATAGAAAAATATTAATAACAATAAATCATACTAAAAAACTTTGTACATTTCCGATGAGAGAAAAAAAATAATAACATATCAGATCATATGACAAGTTGAATGCATACAGTTAAGAATGATACTTGATCGTTAATAATCTGTTAAAAGAAAACATAATTATATATAAAAAGAAACAAAACAAAAAAAGTTATTTTTAACAAATAAAAAAAAAAAAAATTTCTTTAAAAAAAAAAAGATAAAACAAGAGAAAGAAAGGAAATCGAAAGTTAATAATAAAGTCGTAATTATGTTTGATATAACCTTTTAATAGTCTAGTTTATACGAGAATTTGGAAACATACAGAATTTACTAGAAAGTAGTAGAGAGTCAAGATCTCACTATAGAGTACGAAAAGAATATGAATGATTCATACACAGAAAGATGAAGAAAGAAAAACAGTATTTGTATTCGGGCAAGACAGTATAGAACGAAAGTGAGAAATCATGTATGTAATGACAGGAAGAAAGAGACGGTGTACAAGAAATATAACAAGTTTTTATTATCAGTAGAGTTTCATATATTCTATCAAAATAATAAAAATCTAGTGGTATCCTACAACTAATGATTCGAACTTTTTGAAGAAAAAAAGGTCAATCTTATAATTAAGAATTTGCAGAAAATGACGCATATATTCTTAATCAACTGTTTTATCTCATACATAGTGTTCTATAATATCAATACTTCTGATTGAAACTTTGAACTTTCTAGTATTAGTAAAAAAATGATTATTTTTTAAAATAAGATCATTTTCACATAAAATACAAAAAAGAAATGACTAGTATTTCTAGATATTGATTATCAAAAATAAGCATGATATTCCGAATCATCATGCAAACATACATCGAAAACACTACATATCATTGTAAAATATCTATGATAAAAATTTTTGTATTATTATTCGTAAAATTTTCGGCTGCATTTTTTCCCTCGAGTAAAATTTGATTGAAAGCCTAGTTATATAATAATTAAAGTCTAAAAACACTAATCGTATCTTTTGATGGATCGTACCATTTATAATCAAAAAAAACAAAAAATTAATAAAGAAAAGGGTATAACCCATGGGAAAAAGTGCCATTTCTATTGCATTCTTTTCTCCTTATTCATTCATCAATTAACTAAATTAATAACAGAGAGTTTTGGTAAAGTTTATTTCTAGCTACATCTGTCACAAAAAAAAAGATAATAATTCGTATCTACTTTTTGTTTTTTTTTCATATAAAAACACAGAAATTAATAAGTATCTGAAACTTTTTCCATGTATTTTATAACACTTTTTGATAGGTAACTAACTATAAATCCTAGATGTTCATCATAGTTGAAACTTCGTTAGTGACACTGTCATCATAGATATTTCTACTAAATATATATATGAAATACTTCGAAGTTTTCTTTTAACTTCGTAAGATTCGTCTAATTAATCATTTTGTTAAAATTTAATTAAAAAAATGATGATAATAATAGAATGTAAATACTAACAAAACTTAAATTATTATTTAGATTTATAAATTCTATTTTTAATAAACTTTTGACTAGATGTAAAGATTTAATATTATAGATCAACAATCCTAAGATTTTAATTCTTATGTACGTAATGTTATACGCATGTTAATGACATTTTTCTGTTCTTATCTAGTCCATATGTTAATAAAAAAATTATAGTTCATCAATAAACCTCAATTAACAAGACAAAAATATATATCCTCAGTCTATATATATATTTACCTTTTCATTGGGTACTTATTATTATTTGTAGAATCAAATAGAAATAATAAAATAATCTTCTCTTATTGTTCATCGAGTAAGAAATTATATAAACTTTTCCTATCCAAAAAATAGGTAATGCTATATTATCAAATATTCTTTTTCAATCAAGTTAAAACATACCATTATGGGTAAGTAAAAAAAAAATACCAAGGAAAAGGTTTTGATGACTTCTTTCAATATTATTATTGTCACGTTTTGGTATTTCAGCAATTTTATTACGAAGTAAAAAGAAAAGAATTTATTTGACTATGCATATTAAATTTCATAAAAATACAGCAAAGACAAACGGTCAAAAATTTTATTCAAGTTTCAAATAATGATGTAAAAATATCATATTAAAATTAGTTATTAATGCTAATGTTTTCAGCATTATTGTTCAAATAACCTTAATGTTTTGATATTTCTTGCATTAAAATTAATGCAATGCAAATATGTTAGCATTAAATTATCATTATTATAAATGATAATTAGACATCAGACAATCTAAATTCAGAAAGTTCTCAAAATCGAACAAATTTGTTCTTTTTTTGGAAATGACAGTCACGATCGCAATAATATTTATTCTCTTTTGATAATGGTGCTTTCAGACATAGAAAATTTTTATTTTATATAGGGTATGATACTTCCAGATGTAAAAGACCTTTGTTCTATTATAAGAGGCAGCGTTGGAACCGGTCCGATCAGACCGAACCCGTAGAGATCGAAATTTCACCGGTTGAAAGTGTTCAAAGATTTTCTTTGTTAACCCTGTTTTTTAACTACAAAAACTAAGATGTCACATGTTTTTTCTGTTAGAATGCGTAAAAAAAAGTGCTCAAAACATATGTTATATTAATCATTTTTTCTGAGATTCTCTTTAAAAAGATTCATTATGATGAGTATCTTTTATATGCGCCCTAAACTAGGGCTGTACCGCTCACGCTCATGAACGCTCATATGAGCGTGAGCGATTTTTCGCTGACGCTCATGCTCACGTGAAGGGCGGTCGCTCACGCTCATATGAGCGCACATGAGCGTGAGCGGTACAGCCCTAGTCATATGAGCGTGAGCGACCACCCCTCACCTGAGCATGAGCGTAGGGCTGTACCACTCACGCTCATGAGCGCTGATATGAGCGTGAGCGCTTTTTTGCTAACGCTCATATGAACGTGAGCGACCACCCCTCACATGAGCGGTACAGCCCTACCCTAAACTATTTTAGAGTTGGAGCTATTTTTTCTAAAAACCGGTTTTCAGAAAAAAATTTGACGTTTTTCCGTCGGTTTTTAACCGGTTGAACATGTGATTCCAACTGGCCGGACCGAACCGGTTCCAACTCTGATAAGAAGCGTTCCGCATGATTGCTCAGAGGTATAACTGCAGGTAGCATATTTATTAGAATTACTAGTAATACTAATCATCTTGGTATCAAAAATAATTCTAATGCTGACTATGTAAAATATAAAAACAAATATTAATTTATTTTCAATAGATTCGAAAAAGAAAACATGTTATGTTGAACAACAGAAATATTGAACTAATTAATACAACATCAAAACAAAAACAGTCCGCATGTTCATAGAAAATAATGAAAAAAAAACCTACATGAATTCTTAATCAAAATATGTATTAGATTATCTATCTTATTGATTTATCTGATGTAAGAAAAAATAAATATATTGTAACAACAATAGACAATCAATTCTTCGAAATACTTCAAAACTTAGTTGATACCTTTGTGTTTCTAAATTTTTTTCATTAGACTATTTCCTATTTGTTTCTAGTTCTGAAACCTACGAAACAATTAAAACTTTGCCCTATGCACGCTCTAATTTTGTCAAAAAAAAGCGTTTAAATTAATGATTTCGTCTGCTATTCTCTTTGAAGTATGTACATTAAATAAGTAATAATCATAAATTACTATAATTCACGTTATAGATCTTTTACATATCTCAGTATTACAATCGAATATCTTTATATGTTATATGCAAAGAAATACAAGAATTTTCGAGAACAAAAAAACGTTTGCTTACTGTCGTTGTATATGACGGTTATATAATATGCAACATAGCTATTTACGAAGATTGACAGATTCCATAGCCTCAATCATTAACACGCAACACAAGCACTATTTTATTTTTATC